ACCTTTATATATTTTATCTATTACAATTCGGGTTGGGGCACATGGGCAAAATCAAAGAGTATATCAAAACTCAGTCAAGCATTTGATGTCAAATTATTTGATAGCAAATCATTATGCAAAGTGACAAAACATGCAGAATATTTTTACCAGTGCAGCTGAATCTTTTCCAGCTGTGTTTTTAAAGATAATCATAAAAAAAAAAAGTATAACTTCTTCAACTCTTTTGCATTTATTAAGTCAATTCATTTGTTCAGAACAGTTGTAAACCAAGTATCAAAATGAAAGATGCCCAAAGAATCTAAAGTCATCATTGAGGTTTTTAGACATCTGAAGCACAAGTTGTTTGGTCTAGACACAATAAGATCTGACCTCTTTAATCTTGAACGATTTAAACAGATTACGCTTTTAAACGTTCAGATATTCCATGTCAGTTGCTGTTTTCCAGCACTCATGCAGTGAGTCAGACAAAAAACTGCCATAAAACCACACAAAAACAATATTTAAAGCCATTGTTTCAACGTCTTAGTTAATCTGTAACTGAAGCTGTACACTGCTGTGCTCGTATTACAGACAAATATCTCCTGACTCATAAAGCGAAATGCCCAAAGGCTTCTGAGACAGAGGAACAATGCCGGCTCTATGAGAGCTCGTACATCTACACCCACTGTAAACCCCCACATTCACTGAAGGAATACTCCAGTGTTTTCCAACCTCTATCTGACACATCTGTATTGTCAGACAACAGTTTCAATCATTTCAACAACCCCTGCCACACTGGCTTCTATTACAAGCCAAAAACGTTTGGACACCCCGGTTGAATTACATGGTTTGTTAAAAAAAAAAAAAAAGGTTAATACATCCTCTACAGAGTACATCTCAATGCACTGTATGTATATATGTATATATATATATATATATATATATATATATATATATACATACATACATACATACATACATACATGTGTGTGTGTGTGTGTGTGTTTCCAAAATGTTTGAAATCGTGCACTACAATTTGCAGGAAAAGTTACATTTCAATCCTGCCTTCCGCCCAATGACAGCTGGGATAGGCTCCAGCACCCCACTGCGACCCAGAAGGATAAGCGGTTTAGATGATGTATGTATGTAGTTACATTTCAAAAGTTCTGCATAATTAAACGGTTGAGATGTAAATAAGATCATTCAGGGTGGTTTGGTGTGAAAGGCTCCGAACTAGAAAAACTTACCGAGTCGGAATTCTTGACAGTGGTGGTGATAGGAACCAGACGTCCACCTCTAAAAGCTCCCTCACAGAAAGTTACGACACGCAATGGTTTGATATATGCTGCCTGATGTCTGAGACATTGTTTTATGGTAGTTTTGTGATAAAGGTTTTGCCTAAAACATCTTGTTAATACAGTCATTTTAATCCAATCACGGTTGAGGGATACATGCAGGGTGTTGTGAGGAAACAGTCCCCAAAGAAAACTTCTTTTTTTCAGATTTTCCTATTTTACCCTCACCAACATTGCATATAAACACTCAGGGGACACGTGTAGGTTCACTGGTGGCTTTGGACATTAAATAAAATGGCTATACTTGTGTTGTAGACATGGCGACCTCTGGCTCGTATCACCACCACTAAAGAAATTTGGTTTCTCTACAATGAACCATTTCACATCAAACCAAACATTTCACATCTCAATCAAAGGATAATGTAGAAATTTTTCAAAAGCGATGGAATTCCTCTTTAATACACAGGGCTTTATAGAGCTCAATATGTGTGAATAGGAAGAAATTAGACAGTAATATAAAGCTCACTTTACTAGTTTGATTAAGTTTTGACTATAAAAAGACAAAAAGTTAAGATACCTAAAAAGATCCCTAAAATATTCACACTTCTATATAAAGCATAATCAGCAGCAGATGTGTGTAGTAATGTCAGTACAAATTTAATGTATTTGTATTTTCCTGAGTATTTTCAAATGCTAATACTTTTACATCTATTCAGGGAATATTAGCGTATACTTTTTACTCAATACCATTTTAATCATTAACATTACATTCCTAGTTCCTCTTATGGGCTTAATTTCATTCTGTTCATTTGTTCAGCTCCTGAACTGCTTTACTGTCTCTCACTCTTCTCAGTTTGGAGCTTTTTTATTTTAGACTAAAACGATCTAAAAAGATAAGAATTAAGCCTAATAAACTTAGGTTTCTATACTGATATAGGATGGACGTATTAAGACGTTCCACCTCAATTCTGTGAGTTACTCAATACTTTAGCAGTGTTTTGAGCTGCTACTTTTGAAAAGGTGCTTTTACTTTTTATTGCAGTCATTATTTCAACACTTTTACTGGATGATGGCTTTCGGAAGCTCTACACGCTACTGATCAGAAGTGAATCCAAAAACATTCTTACCTAATTCATCCTAACCTTAAGCAATGCATGTACCTCACTGCCTCATCAGCACCACCTGCTGGACCAAATGTTTGTGGAGTAACCTTAAAAGGCCCATATTGTGCTCATATCTATACATACAGTTCTATAAAAATACTTCCAGTAAAAGATGCCATTAAGTACAAATTCTTCATTTTTTTAGGAGATATTTCTGAGAAGGTTAAATGTAAGATAACCCACTTGCATACGGAAGGAAAAGGTCAAAGAATATAAGTAAAAAAACAGGAGTTTTCAAAACAGAGAAAATGGGACTCCTAACAACCATCTGGAAGACCTGGACACCAAAACTGCCCCAATCCGATAAACAGAACTTAAAGCTTTCATCTCTGAGAGAGAGGAGAAAATCAAGCTGCTTCAGATCTGAAAACATCCACAGGTGTTTCTGTCCATCCTTCCACTGTGAGAAGACAACTCAGCACTATGGGTCTGAAAGGATGTGCAGCTGTCAGGAAGCCCTAACTGAGAAAAGAAATAGACAAAAGAGAAGAACATTGTGCACAAAGATATAGAATTTGGACACTTGAGACGTGGAATTAAGTTTTGTGGACTGATGAGACTAAATTTTACATCATAAGAAAAAGAAAATGTAACCAGCTTCTAAGACTGAACTGGAAAAATATCCCTGCAGATTTCTTTGAAAAACTGAAAGTGAGTCCCCTGAAAAGAATGGAAGCTGTAATAAAGGTAAAGAGTGGACATACTAAATACTGAAAAATGAATAATTTGTACTTAATGGCCTTTTAACTTGAAATTAAATAAATGAAGTGTGATCTCTGACTTTCACACAGTGCTGTAAATAAATGTATTACAGATAATAATCACAATTCATTATTATTCTGCCAAGCAATGTAGATTGTTAACAATAGGCTGTGGCTGTCAGCAACATAATGATCAATGATTATTTAAATGTGTGTATATGGAGTTCTTTACAGCTTTGAATATGGCTCAGAAAATCCATATATATATATATATATATATATAAAGTTTTACGCAACAAGCAGACTGCAGCTGATTATTGGGTGTGTGTTTGTGAGTTAATAGAGCAGTGTACTCTCAGTACAGTCAAGGCAGGCAGAAATAGCTGACACGGCAAAAACAGTTCAGTGGGAGAGGATGCCTCAGAGATGAGCCATCACCACACACAGAACAGAGCAACAACACAGAACAGAAGAACAGAAGACATTTGGTCTTTCCATGAAGAGAATATGCCGCTGTCATCTTGCTAGCAGACACACACATCCATATGATATCTGCGCATTACCACTCATTCATGCACATGCAGTCACACAAACACCAACAAAAGAAAGAATGTATTTGGCGTAGGCAGAGAGAAGTTGTTGGGTAGGCCTGTGAAAAAGTGTGAGGGCAAATTTAGTAGATACCCTTTCCAAACCCGCTAATGGCCTATTCTATCTGATGTTGACACAAAACAATAGCAATCAACCAGAAAGCTGGATTCACATAAACACAACCAACACTGCAACACTCATTTACACTCGTTTAATATAAAGAATGTGTCCGCTCACCACAGGCACGTTTTACCAATGAAGATGACATAACCGAGTTCACATCTGATAGCTGAGATGTACAAAGATGAGAAATAACAACACAATAAACCTAAAAAAACCTAAACCAAATTATCCTAGGCTAAAGCATATTGTCACGGTGGGCATGAAAAACATTTATGATCCATTTATGTCTTACCTTTGATGACTCAATGCATTAAAGTAATGTTAAACACTTTCACAAAGCTCATCTCAGCCTTTGTAGTAAAAAAAAAAAAGCATTGCAAGTACCAAATTTGCAGAAAACTGACAACGGTTTTAAATGGGTTTTTGGCTGGGATGGGTAGAAAATGACATATTCTATGAAACAGAATCTCACTTTTAAACGTCCCCAGCTACATCTTTTAACCACAACTGAAGCTCTGGAGTGCACTGATAATGAACTGAAGGCTTAAGGCAATGCCAGATAGCAACAGCTGCTAAGCACTTTCTCCTGGGGTTGATTTATACTAGGAACCCTCAGTGCCCTCTAGAGCTCCATTTCTGGGAACTAAAAAAATAAAAACTGTCATTTTTATTTCTTTTTTATTCAACAGAATCATGTTTAAATTAAACTTTGCAAGTACTGCAATAATTTTCTGAACTCAATATTTGAATATTGTAAAGTTTTGGTTGAAAACAATAAAGTTAAATTCTTGACACCCAGTGAAAAATATTTTTTTTTTTTCTGTGTTTTTTGGGTAGATAAAGAAAAGTGAGCTCTCTCATTGGCAGGACACAAGGTAGGTGTTTCTAATAAAGTGGCCAGGGAGTGGAAGCTCAAGGTAGGTGTTTCTAATAAAGCGGCCAGTAAATGGCAGTTAGTAAATTGCGAGACAAAACTGTGTTGGTGTAACATTTTATTATGTAATATGTTATTATTATTTTACCAATGTAGAAATGATGTACACACTTGATAGTAAATTCAGTGCATCACTGTTTTTCAGTGTTCATGCTCATAGGATTAAGTAGCCTATCATCTAGTGACGAGTGTAAATCACAGCCTCCACACTCACCAGCTCCAGCAGCACCAGCAGAATCTCCTCTCTCCAGCCTCCGCACCCTGCTGTTGGTGGACCGGGTAATACCTGCACATACACACAAAGCCCGTCAATTACACTACATTTACATGTATTTATTCAGCATGTAAACAGTCTAAACGTCTTTTAGCTCAACTTCCCTCCATACTGTAAAAAACTGTTGCTAACTAGTTCGTTTTTGCGTTGCCTTAAACTTTTGAGTTCACTGAATAGTAAGTTAATGGAGCAAGAAGCTGTGTTTTATGCCTGTCAACTTATTATTTAAAGTTAAAATAACAAAAAAAGTTAAGGCAGCCCAGACACACCCCATTTTTTTATAGTGCTCACAAATGATTTACTTCATACCTAACCAATGGGAAACATTTTATATCCATTAACTCCTTAAACTCTATCATTGCTAGTGTTCCTCAGGGCTCAGTACTGGGTCCTCTTCTTTTTATCACCAGTTTTTTGAGAACCAGTTTTTATCATTCAGATGGTACACAAACAAATGCTAGTCACCAGTGGTATGAAGCTGTCTGCACAGCTGCACACTGAAACAAACAGCCTTTCAGACAAAAACATGATTTGCCCCTTCGTATGTCAGTCAAATGGCCTCTTCCTGTCAAAGCAGGTGGTTCTTGTGGTCACTCTCACACTTAATGACAAAAAACTGTTGTTGTTTTAATTTTTCTCCCCACTTCAGCCATGGCAGTTTCCAGCTGCTAGCTAGGTCTCCTCCAATCACACGATGGTACAAGGCTGAGAGGGTGAGGCTCGCACATGCTTCTCCTGCCACATTTGAAGCTCCTCCACATTTTTCAAACTGCTGCTAACTAAATGTCATTGGACAGCTCAACACGCTTGGAGGAGAATGCTAACTGCTTATTCTGTTTCGCCAGCTATTGGACGCCCGCATTGGCTAGCACTGCTGAGTGATGGCAGGGGGAGGAAGGACCATCCCACCCTCCCAGAGACAGCAACACACAGACACACACTACCCATCCAGGTAGGAACCGGCGATCCCTCATCTGCTGCTGTACAGTTTGTGTTGGTCATCCTCTAGTCCTTCATCAGTGGTCACAGGACGCTGCCCACAGGACACTGTTGGCTGGATATTTTTGGTTGGTGGACTATTCTCAGTCCAGCAGTGACACTGAGGTGTTTAAAAACTCCAGCAGCACTGCTGTGTCTGATCCACTCGCACCAGCGCAACACACACTAACACACCACCACCACGTCAGTGTTACTGCAGTGCTGAGAACGATCCACCACACAAATAGTAGCACCCGCACTCTTGTGTTTGAGGTATTCAGTAGAATATTGGAAAATGAATATTTGATAGATGCAGCGCTACACTGTTAGAAATAAAGGTGCTGTGCAGGTACATTTATCATTCATCAAGGTACAAACAATGTAAATGTGCCCTCAAAGGTACAACAGTGGTTTTAAGGTCCAATTGTGAACCTTAAATAGGTTTTTCCAGGTGAAAAGTACAGATTTGTACCTCTTCATAATCTAATGTTTTAAAACAGAACAATAAAATAAAAGCCTGGAGACGAGACGGGGTGTGTGGAGTCAATACAATATGGAAAATATAATTTCAATGGATTTTGGTACAGTTATGTTCCCTGACTAAAAATACTGAGATGTACCCTTGAGAGTCCCACACCAGTGACAAGAGGGGAACTGCCCCAGTGACAGTTTCACACCTTTATTTCTGAGAGTGTAAAAAAATTAATCTCTCTTTTTCAAATCTTTTTAGGCCTGCATCACACAAGAAGACATTAGGAGGTCTGATTCTGAAGGCACTCTGTAGTAAACTCAGATGACCCCCCTTAGAACACACACACACACACACACACACTTCAAAGCCTGAAGCACGTATTCAATAACACGAAACTCCATATTATATGGCACACACACACTTTGTTCATGCAAATGAGGCCACATTATTTGGAACTGCTGTGATTATGATATAACAGCTGCATTACTCATAACCTGTTTTTTAGTAACACGAAGCAAATCATTGAAGTTTTCGGGTTTTTCATCTTCAAAGGTGATTCTATGGTATCTAGTGTTACTAAAAACAGCAATACAGCTGTTACATCATAATCACAGTGGTTCCAATTGATGTGACCTCATTTGCATATATAAAAAAACAAAAATGGGGAACTATGCTTCATGATTTCAGAAAGACCTGACGTCCTTATGACACATGCCGAAAGTTCCATGAAAGATTCACACCTCTGATAAACACACAGCCATACCCACATAAGAAAAACACTCGATACGCGGTGATCAGCGCATGTTGACCTATTTTACACTTAGAGCATGCAGGGAAAAAAAACAGTGTGTTTACACACTTTCACTTTGACAGAATTCAGGTTGCACAATCTTAAAGACTGCACCAAGTGCGCTGAGTGGAAAAACAAGCGATCAGGAGAGATAAGAGAGCTGTGAAAGTGACTTATTAAGGTATGTTTGTGAATTAGATTCTTTCAACTTTTAAGCACTCTTAAAATGAAGCTTAAGTTAACAAACATCTAATTTACCCATTTCGTTAAATACGGTCACTCAGCCAAGACATGTTTGGCATCTGAAGTTTACTTTCTTTAGTTTTAGCACAGGAATTACAGGGAGATTCACTCGAAAGAGGCCCCGAACATTCTGTTGCAATCTGAACCAAAAAATACATACCTTGATGTAGGCGTAAACGATTGCATTACATGCGATGCTGGAAGTGATCTCTGTTTTGTTCCAGACCCATTTCGGCACGGCGCTCCATGTTCTTGAACGTACTGGCAAACATTAGAGAGGTTAAACGTAGCAACAGCTGTCCGGCGCCAACCTCATTGCTCCAACGCAGAGGCATCCCAGCTTGTTCGAAGCTCCATATACTGAGGAGCACATTGCAAGTTGTTTCGTTCAGATTGCTTCGTCCTAGCGAGAGTTATTACAGAATATTCGGGGCCTCTTTCGAGTGAATCTCCCTGCATAAGGCTAATGTAGCTAATAAGTAATGGAAGCTTGTTATTTCCACCAATTAGCATGTATCTAAGTGCATGGCTAAATCATTTTTAAGCTGTTAAGTCATCTCTAATAGACTTTCTCACATGATTTCTGACACTGTATGACATACTGTTATCTATAAACATGGAAAGAATGGATCACATAGCTAAAAATAGTAGCAGTAGAACTCTTGAAGCCTCCTTTTGTTCATACTTTTACATCACAGTATGTCATACAGTGTCAGAAAACATGTAAGCATGCCTGTTTGAGATCACGCCATTAGCACCATGCCAACTGCTCTGTATGAACCATTCCAGAGTCGGTTTATGAGGAGGCCTCTTCCTATTTCCACCGTTATATCAAAAACAGGACAGCAAAACAGCAGAGGGCGCCCGCGAGCGAGTCCTCAATGAATGGGGGGTGAATGGAGCTAAACGGCTAAAAACAAAAAGTCAAAATAGTTTCTAATCACTCGCCCAGAAATTTCCTTTAATTTTAGAAAGTAGAAGTAAGTATGGTAACACTTTACTGTAGGGTGCTGTTCATAAGGCTACATGACACCTACATAAGCCTGACATAACCCCACATAACTGTTTATAAATGCTTAGGCATTATCTGTCATAAAGGCTACTTTGGCTAACTTTGTTCAAAATTGGTAAATGTAACCTTTATAGAAAATGACACATATTGGAATAAACATTTCTAAACATTTATGAAGGGTTATGTCAGTTATCATGACAGGCTCATGTAGGTGTCATGTAGCCTTATGAACAGCACTCTACAGCAAAGTGTTACCGCAAGGATTTCACTAAAAAAGCAAAGAAAACTCACCTGTATGTTTCTTTTTTTCTACAGCAAATGGGTTTTGGGCAGTGGAACACTAGCTTTACTGCTACTGAGTGCTGACTGGTTAGCAGGCGGAGCAGCTCATTGGCTGTTTGTGCTAACAGGTGCCATTTTAAACCCCTATAACTCGAGTTCAAGAGCGCTCAAAAATATAACAGCAGTGTTAAAATGTTTCATGATATTCAGTTTTCAGGAAATATTTAAGCATTTATAAACTATGATTTTTGCTCAAATGCTCCATATTAACCCATTCATTGTGGACTCGCTCGGGAGCGCCCTCTAGCGTTTGAGAAACCCGGAAGACTTTACAGAGCGGTAATTCTCCTCTCTACAAGTTCCAAGGACCATTCTACCGAATTAGTTCAAACTGCAATCCCACAGTAGAAAAAACAATTTAAATACATTCTGTATTCAGATTTTATAGATTTACAAGGTTCATGTTATGATCTGTTTAAAACCAAGGCATTCATTGAGATAGTAATATACATAAAATCATCATTTGGGGAGTTGATGGGGTGTGAAAAATCCATCATAGGAACTGGAAGGCAGAGCTGGAAACGTATAGGAAGCTAGAATGGAAGGAGGAGGAGCTTCAAGCGTGGTGCTCCTCCCCACGTTTAGTTATTTCATAACCTATAAAACCCTATGTGTGAAAAGGACTTATGTCATGGTTTTTGGAATCATGGCCTGAGAAAATAATTGTATGGAAAACCATCTGGAATTCCTGGAATTGAACAGCCTTTAAGAACCTGAAGGAAAAGATGATGAAGGAACCACAGAGGCTTTAAAGCATCTTCCTTTGCCAGACTGAGTTGAGTGTAGAAACAAGTTCGATCAAGCTGACAGTGTGACGGTGTTGAGTCTTGAAACCCTTGGTGGACGTTAACTGCGCTACCTTGAAGTTAAAACCCCAGATTTTTTCCTTACAAAGAAGATTCATCTGTGCTACACAGTCACACAGAAGTGACCTTACTGAAAGCAGCAGTGTGACTCAGCTTTGACCAAAATGCTCTCAATCAGAATTCCATTCTGCTATTAGCAAAATAATTGATGCATTAAAACCTCCATTAAAGTAAATTAAGGCCAGCTCCCACTGGCTGCCCATAGCCTTTGTCTGCAGTATGGAGGGATCTATTCAGCTGAATAAACACGGCTGCTGCTGCTGGGTTAGTCCCTCACGCTGATAAAGTGCAGTAACATTGCTCATTCATGTCCGATTGCAAATCCAAAAAAGGGCTTGTTTTTTCATGTCCATTCTTCGGAGTTCACACTCACTCAGAGCCAAGATCAGCGTTACATGAATTAGCATGTGCAGAACCATAAGCAATACTCGGAACACATTTGGTATTTGGGGCCTGTGTCATACTAGAGTTTGATACCCTTGTCTTAGTCCTTACCTGCCTCAAACTGAGTCAAGCACATGTCCTACATTTTATCTGTGTATTTTTCTTTTTTCCCCCCATTAAATCAACTTTAACATTTTGTACATCTTTGGTTTATTTATGTACCAATAATGGTTCATTTGTACATGACCATCGTCTCTTTATCCCTTAGAATCAGGCTGTTTTTCTCACTGTGCCTTTACGGCTGATATATGTAAACAAGCTCTGTTCTGATTGGCTGCCTAGTTTTCCCTCATTCAGAAAGCAGTTCAGGCTGAAAAACTCTGAGCTTCAGTGTGAATGGGTGGGGCTAAACTGCTGTATACCGAATATTTGGGGGTGAAAGGTACATTTTGAAACTTTAATGTTGTTTTTATGCTACACTTTATTTCACAAAAAGTGGGAAAGGTCTGTTTTCAATAATATGGTCCCTTGAAACTATTCAAACCAGTGCAAACATGATGCGTGACAGAGCATATCAGGGGTTGTCATGATTAGTATTATTAATTATTTATTATAAAATGTATCTTCTTATTGCTCTCACCCATTTATATACATTTATCACTGTATCCCTTTTAATGAAGGATTTTTAAAGCTTCCTAGTTTATCTTTTTCCAGCAAAGACTTTCTGAATCTCTAAAAGGCTCTGCCTGGTTTTCATTGTTCAAAGTCCATTTTTATTGTCCGGCCTATTTTAAGAAGCTCAGCTTTGATTACCCCTTGATTATACATCATCCTGATTATCATCAACATCATCAGAGAACACAACATAATCACAAAACATAATCAGAGATCATGATGTAACAATACAACATTGTATTTTATTGTACCATATCATTGTATTGTTGCTAATATATTAGCTTGTGGCTAAAGCACTAGATCGAGACACTATAAATCACAAGCTTTAGTTTCAAATATTGTACATTTTTAAGATTAAATTCTCTAATAAACGTTAAGGGATCATATCATGGAAAACTGACGTTTCCTTGCTTTTTATGGAATTTAGTATGGAAACACTGTAAAAGTTTCAAAACTGACCGGTCACTCCCCAGTCCATATGAAGAAAACAAATATCTCCATTTTAATGAATTCTCATATCATGTTTTTATTATCGTGCATTCCAGGTAATATGAATCAAACTGCAGTTGGGTTGTTCTGATTGAGTGAAAATAACAAAATACAGGTAACTTACAACATTAAACTTTATTGAAAACTTTTTAGCAAGAGCAGATAACTCCAGTGGTCATTTCACGTTTCAGAGTTAAACAAAGCCAAGCAATGGATACAAGGTTGTAAGTGCAATATTTAACTTTCTTTAACATAAAACATGCAGGTAAGGAGCTAAAATTTGCAAAAAAAAAACAAACAAAAAAAAACACCCCATTATCATCAATATTTAACATTTAGATATTAAACAGATCAGACCTTGAAAAATCCTAAGGCTTAATCTCAAATGGCTCACTGCTCCCTATATAGTGCACTATGTAAGATATACAGATTTGGCTTTACCACCCGAATATTGCACTTAATGTCCAGTATGAACTGTGCACACATGGCTGAATCCACAGTGGTTCTTTGTTAGACACACTGTGCTCTGTTTAGATGCAGTCACCTTTATTTTAAGACCTACGTGCTGCACTTTGTAGGGAGAAGGGAGCCGTTTGAGATTCTGCCTAAAACAGTTCAGCGCCGATTCGCTGAACAGATTTATCGGGTTCTGCTCGAGAACAGTGCTGGTGTTTGACTGTTTCTGCCGTAAAACATGAACTTACAATTCTTGACACTGGACAATAATGGCTTTTTTATGGATGGAGTTTATTGTTTTTGAACTGTTCATATATAGAAACAAAGCTTGTTTTGAATTCTGTGATTTTGTGGTGTAATAAACATCACTACTTTTATACACATCTGCCTATTTACTCTACAGCAGTTTAGCTCCATCCACTCATGCTGAAGTTATAAACGGTGTTTCAGCCCAGAGTGCTTTTTGAATGAGGCATAATATGGGGCAGCCAATCAGAACAGAGCTCATTTACATCAGTCTTAAAGGCACAGTAAGAAAATCAGCCGTTTTTATTTCTAAGGGATAAGAAGAGGTTTACATTTCAGCCACTCTGTATTGAAATATGTATAAAATCGAAACACCACTGTATCATATTGAATCGAATTATGAATTCTGTGAATCGTTACACCCTTAATGACGACTAACATAACTGATAGTGACAGACAGCCCTAAAT